AGTCGATAGGTAGTCTTCATTAATCTAAAACAAGAAATAAACAGCATTTTAATTACATTTATGAACTGGCACAAAATTCAGAGCTGCTCTGAATACAAATAATTAGAAGATCTAGCATGTGTGGGGAAACAGTTCATTCAATTAGATTTAGTCTAATGCAGAGTTCTACTCACAGGGAAATGAGGGGAGGAAAAGTTTTAGGACAATAGCACAGTAAACCCTGAAAAACTTTTCTTGCACTGTGGTTTTGTTGCAAGCTTTTATTGTATTTTGGTTGGTTGAAAAAGTTGTTGGAGGAATGACCAAAGCATTACATCATGGAAATTGCAGCGAGCCAGGAAAGTATCTACAGGCAAATCCCATTGCGGGCAGCGTATTGAGATGTGGCTGAACGAAACAGCTTGCAAAGAAGGGAGGACACACTATAGAGAGTACTCAAGTGCTAGGACAGTTAAGGCTTTCTGCCTTTCTAACTTCTTAACGTGGTAGTTTGAATTGAATTGGCATCTGCTTTTTCGTTCTTTTCACGTGGGTATGGAAGGACTCATTTCTGTCCCATCAGAGGCAAGGTGTTGAGTTTCGGCTAGTAATAAGATCCTTCAGAGAATGAACGATCTGTTTCATTTTATAAGCAACATGCTGTACTGGCTGTTACTTCTCACATACTTGTATTCTCATTCTTCGTGCTTTTTAATGTACTCCTTTATAGTAGTACAATCTATTCATTTAAGTACGAACAAAATATTTATCCGGAAGCTGGTCACTGCAAGTTCAAACATGTACCTTTGGATCTCTCAAACAGACATCAGTAACTTCACTACTTTGTGTTATTGTACTCTAGTTACATCCCGCTTATATTGCGGGGTTTTGATCAGAAAAATTGAAGGGTTTTGTTTCTTCTGTGGTGCATCTCTACCAGGTAACCCAGCCTTAAGAACAATAAAAAAAGGAAATTTGCCTGTATGCTCTATTAAATGTTTCCTTAAAACAGTTATCTAGTTTACTGTTTTCAACTTAACAGTTCTGTAATGGTGTTGGCATTGCAGATACCGCAGTATTGTCCTGGTGTGTGGAAACACCGGTTCTTATGTATACTTCACAGCTGGTGAAATGCAAGAACTGTGTATAAAAAAATCAAAACAAAGGAATATTAACATTGAGCTTGTTTGTAATGTTCTCTATCATCTGTCAATATTCCTTTGTTTTTTCCAGTCCTCTCAAAATAATTTTCTAGGTTGTCCTTAAAAAGGGGTGGGGAAAAAGCAAAGAAAAAAAAAAAGCAGGTTGCTGATAGACACAGGGAATCTTCCATGCAGCTTTCCAGGTTAATCTTGTGTTATAAAAGTTATGCAGCTCTGACAGATCTTACAAAGCTTAGCTACAGCTTAATTTACGATCTTATTGCCGATGTGTAGTGCTAATTGAGGTATGACACAATGTGTGGTTATCTGAACCTAAAACTTGCTATTAGTTTAAATGTCAAAAGCATATTTAGAGTTAGCCAGTCAGCTTCTTTCCTTCTGTGTACCTCTGTGATTGGGGGGGAAAAAAAAATCACTATTATCTGTGTCCTTATTTGCTTTTTTATTTTATCTGTCTTGTCTCTTTTAGGCATCCATACAGTATCAGGCACAGCAGGCCTATAGGGACTACTTTATGAGTATAATACAGGCGTATGATGGAGTACAGCTGAAGAATTACTGAGGTTGGAGTACTGCCCTTGTCAAGTGATTTCAGTGCTCACATTGGTCTTTGATTTTGTTGCACAAAACTTGCAGTATGGACAGTCCCACTGCTGACTAGTTTATGATGTAAGGCACAGTATCGAGAGTGCATTTTAATGTGACTGGGGTGTCATGTGAAATATGGTGAGCCATAGCATTACGTCATGCAGAAAAACGTGCCAAGGGGATGGGTTACTTAGTACGTTTGGTTGCTTTGAAACCAGAGTTCCTTCAGTAGTTTTGTCACCAGGACAAAAGATGGGGGAAGGCTTCCTGTGGAAAAGTTAGGGACAAGGACTTTAAGGTTTTGGTGGTACCTACATAAAAGTCCTGTGACTTCCAGATACTAGTGCAGTCACTGTGTGTGTGGCATGCCAAGTTCTTTGGGAACTATGCTTGGCCCAAATCCATTCATGAACAAATCTCTCTGGTCCCTAGGGAGAGGAGAAAGTACTGCAAAAACTAGCATGAAGATCCACATCAGCTGGGACTCACTGGAATGTCTAAGCAGGACTCACAGAGGGGAAAATAAATTTCTGTTCCTCTTCTAACAAATATACTGTAACCATATCTGACATACGTATTTTTTTGGTGTGTCTATCAGCTTAGAGTCCCAGACTGCTTGCAGCTGCCCCGTGCCGCTTCGTTCTTGTCTGTTGTACTGGCTCAATTATTTGTACAGCTGTGCAGTAAAATGATTCTGCTGGAGCAGGGAAGACTATATATTTATAATTTGTAAAATTTGTTTAAGCAGCATGCTATTTTTCAGCTGGATCAATTACCTTATTCATGACATGGCCTCCCATGCGGCTCTGCCAGCATACTGGGGAGCCAAGGCCCTGGGAGGATGAGCGCAGCCTCCAAACGCTTTGTGGTGACTGCAGAGAGGAGGGAGCAGGTCTGAAATGGAAATGAGAGCGTGTCAGAACCCTTTCCTGCTTATTCACACCTCTGAGATTATTACTGCATGTGTCCCTCCATGGAAAAAGTTATGCGGCCTTCAGAATTGCTGTTGGATTTTCTAACTTGAGAGGGAATGCTGGGCTAATTAACTAACTTAATTGAAGTGTGTTGTGTCATGTATCGTAGTATACAGTGGTTGTGGTTGCATGAAGAGAATTTTAATATTTCCACCCCCGCCCCGCGGTTAGCTTCATGAGCAGTTTTTAAAATCTCTTGTCAAGCAATAATATTGGCATCTAAAATCAGGCTGCCCTGTCTCTCAGAAATGTAGGAGGATTGTCTTTCATGAGTGCTAAAGTGAATGGGGTAAATTACTGTGTGTAAACTGTGTAGCATTGCAGGGTGAGAGTTTGCTCCTGGGCAATTACTGCAAGGCTATTGGCATGTGGCAGTGCCATCTTGTGATGAGTTAGCCCTGTTTCAAAGCTCTGTGGTTCCTAAAAGAGAAGCAGGGTAAACCAGCCGGATTGTTGAGTGTCAGTCAGCTTCATATAGTTTATGATGAGTTTTTTACCCTCGCTTCCAAAGGAAATGAATCATGCCGTCTTTCTGTCCTACCCCTGTAAATCTTGAGCCTCTTGGCCACTGAGAGAACTTCCTTATAAATAGGTGCCCAGGACAGGAAGGATGCTACTCGAATTCCCTCCCAGGGAAAGGGTGCGGTGCAAGTTTGTTAGACTTGAGAAAATTCATGTAGGAGAAGCAGATGTTACGAATTCATGGACTACAAAAAAGCTATTACCCAGAGCTTGTACTGTATTGTGAGCTGAAGAGGAAAGTTGTAGGAAACAAGACTTTGTTACTGACAGTGATCGTGGAATTACTTGGTTTTGTTTTCCTTATGGCTTTTGATGCTCCCAGCATCACACCATCAAGCTGTAGCAACTCTTTAGTAACCAAACTGCAAGGCTTTTAGGAATACAAACCTGAAACAATCCTGCAGGTGGCTGGTGAGGTTGCGGTAGTGTAGAGAGCAGTCGGGCTCCATTTTGGATGCCTGACTCTGTTGCTATTCTGAGTTGCTCTACGCTGCACAGTGCTGCTTAACTTCCTGCTACTAGTTTTCTAGCTATTTAGATGATCAGTCCTCAGCTTTTTTTAAACCAGCTGCTTTGGTGGCATGCTTCCTTTCTGTCAGGAGAGCGCACAGTAACAAAGCCACGTTTTATTCACTGGTGGGGCGTGTCTTTCTGTAAGTATGTTAGAGCCCAATACCAGGAGAAGGCAGTGGTCAACTGCTGCAAACTAGCCGGTCTTTTTCTCTGCTCCAAACCATAACTGTATAACTTCGAGACATTCCATCTCAAAATCTGGGGGGAGGTTTGGGTTAGGATTGAAATGGAAAGGCAAAGGAAGAGATAACTAGCCTGCTCCTTTACTGATTGAAAAACAAAACAGCAACCAAATTGCCTTCTCTGCTGCCTGTTAAATGCCTTTTTGAAACACATGCCATTCTTGTAGTTCTCCTCTAACTGCTGCTGCTTGCTGGTTTTCCATGAATCGCTTGCTCCTAGGTGAAAACCCAGTCATTTGCAAAATGTGAAGTAGTATGTCTTGAGTCGTAAACAAAAGACAGAAGCTTGATTTTTTTTTTTTTTTTCTTTTTTTTCCCTTTTTCTTCTCCTGTGGTTTAACTAACGTTTCTCTAGTACCTCTGGAAGACCAGCGTTAGAATGGTCAGGTTGATACTTTGTTCTTGTGAAGAAACATGTTTGTCCTTAGTTTTCCTGTCAATGTCTTGGCATTTTACTGATTTTTACTGTTCTGATGGAGGAGATGAGATGAAGGAAAGATATTGTTAGAGCTTCTAGCTGAGTGAGCCTGAGGCACGAAAAGGGTAAATGAGGTAAAGAAATCACTCATTTCAGTAATGCTGTGCTTTTTTGGTTCATCTTATCACATCTCATTATTAGTTAAGTTCATGTTGGGAAGAAACATGTTAAATTTCTTGGGGATTTCAAAAGCCCTAGTAGAGCAAACCTCAGATATCCAGTTCATGCTGTTGTGCTACCAACTGCTGATTAGATGGAGCTCCCACTGGAGCCTGCAGATGCTTTAGTTCATTGGCTAGAAGGACCACTGAGGGATGCTGTATGATGAGATATGTATGTACCTGGTGATGATCAGTCCTTGTGTTCTTGCTTGGAAAATCTAGAATGGCTTTGTTACAATGCTGCTTGTAAATACTAATGTAGATTTGCCAGGCTTCTTTAAGTTGCTGCAACATATAGAAAGAATCTTCACCGTAATCTTTGCTGTTGCCTGGATGATTTTAAGTCTGTAATAAAACACTGACTTAATATTTTCTTTCAGTCTCCAGAGGGTGCTGAAGGCAAGGATGCAGCAAAAGTAACTAAACAAGAGGCAAGTATATTTCTTTTTTTTTTTTTTTTTTTTTTTTTAAATTTATTTTGGCATGTAATTATTTAACTGGAGGTCTGGAGTGTTGGATATCAGAAGACTATGCATTGTTCTGGCACTTCTAGTTATGTATTTTCAGTCGGAATAATGACAGTAAACCACGTTTGTAGCTTACTTGGCATAATTTGGTTTTGGTACACTGAGGATTCATATAACTGACTAGTACACAAAATAAATTTCAGAAACACTTAGGGCTTTGATAGACAAGCTCTGGTGGATCTTGTGGCAACAGTGTAGGATGTTACTGCCTGGAACTGTTGCTCTGTCTCTAGCAGAGAGGGTTAATGTGCACACCTCAGCCAGTCTACTTCAAAACTATTCTTAGCTTAAGTGACTGATGGAAGGGTGTCTTAATTAAGATACCAGACTCTAAACTGGAACAGCTGACACATTTGTGTGTTTTCTCTGTCTGAATTTGTTTTAAGGGCACAGTAACTTCTGTCAGAGAAGGCAAGGAGATAGCTTGGTGATACCTTGACCTCTACAGTAAAGTTTGCTAGTTTGTTTGTCACAGCCCTTAATATGAATTTAAAAAAAAGGTAGAGAATTATGAGGATTAATTTTCTTAGGTTGTCATCTTTTGTGGCAGCCAAAGTTAAATCAGGACCTTGAAGAGAATGGGTGAATATTCAAATGAATTAACAATTAATTGCTCTTCTTGTAAATCTTTGAGCATATTTGAACAGGAAAAATAGTCTAATGAAGTTTTACACTTTCTGCATTGGGAAGTTGGTTGTTGCAGTCTGGCAGAAAAAGATGGTACAGTGGAAATGTAAAAATATTTCAAACAATAGTAAAGTTTACAATAAGCTCCTGAAAAAAACAGGTAGAGTAAAAAGGAGGTCTGAGAGGAATAGATTTTGATACCTCAGTATCTTCCTATGGAATTTCTTAGAAGACAAATTAGTTTCTTTTTCATCAAGTATGAAAAGGCTGACTAAATAATAGTAAAAATATAATCTCCTTTGCTCTGAATGAATGTTTTTCTCTGTCCAAGTTTAAATATTATTTCTTCAAGAGCCAGAAAAGTAAAAGTTCCTTCCCCTAAAAATTTGAGACCTCATAGCTAGAATAAAGAAGAAAGACCAAAAAGCTTACAGAAATACACAGGGTCTCTGGAGAGAGCCCACTGACTCTGAAATATGAGAGCTCTTAGTCTTCAGTCAAGGTGAGATAATAGTGGCTGATGATGCTACAGAAAAAAAAAAAAAAAAAAAAAACAAACCAAACCCAAATTAAGATACTCTCAGTAGACACGCTTGTAGCTCTTAGTGTGTGAATGAGGAAAATAGTTGTAAGATTAGATTAAAACTGTGGGAGCTGTTGGAATAGGCGGAACTCACGTAGGAGGGGTGGTTTCAGTCTGAAACAAAACAGACCTATGTGGATGGCACTGAGAAGATCTTCTGAACTATTTTAAACTAAACATCTGAGGGTAGACTGGCAAGTCCTTGAGAGCACATAGGGCGAAGTCAGAGCTCCCTATCAGGCAGAGAGCGGGGGCTAGCACAGAAGCCATAAAAGTTTGCATGTGAAAAGGTAAAGAGCAGTCTTGAGAAATAAAGCCCTGTTTAACTCATGCCAATGAAAACAGGCAGTCAAGCCAAAACACAAAAGCTGCAAATCTAAATCTAGGCAACTTGGACTGTCTGGCTTTAAATAGGGACATTGATATAATGGGCAACTCAGAAAGTTGTTGGGACACTGTGGCACCAAGGCATAAATTGTACAGTGTTGAGAGCTAAGTTGCATTAGTGGTAGAATGGTTTTCCGTTACGTGTCTTTAATATTTCTCTAGATTAACTGTATCAATAAGTACGGCAGAATCCTTTATGGATTGCCAAGCCATGTGTAAATGGGAAGTATGTAGTGTAGAAATTGTGCCAGGTATCATCTGGCCACAGTAATAAAAGTGGCAATGGGATGTTAAGGGAGATCAGAGAGGCTCTGAGGACAGAAGTAGTGTTGATGGAGATTTCAGTTACCCTTCAGAGATTTGGTAAAAGGCACGGGATGGTATTACAAAAACAAAAAAGTTAAAACTATAGATGCTTGCTTCCTGGAGGGACAAATCAAAGGACCAGTAAAAGGATAATCAGCTTTTTATTTGGTCCTGAGTAGTATATAGGAGCTAGTTAAAAAGAGAGTTGTCAGAGAACTATTCTGTAATTGTGACCATAATATATTCAGGTTCATCATCCTTGCAGGAATGTAAGTGCAAATAAACTCTGCTATGGTAACATTTGATATCAGGAAAGGGAATTTTAATAAAAATGATAGCCTGTTAAACGGAGCAGCTAAAAAGTTTAATGGTTTCAGGTGGCAGAGAGACGTTGTGGTACGCCATGCTAGAAGCTTGCAGAAATGCATATTACTTTTCAAAAGCCCCCCTCGCCCCCCAAAGAAAAACCAGAATGACTTAATAGCAAAATAAGGGAAACTTACGAAAAACAGTGATGAAACTCGTGCTATGGAGAATTCTTTTGGAGATTCTCATAGTGGAGCCTTTTCTCATGGGCGTAGAGTCTGTAGGACATTCTTTAACTGAGTGTGAGTGAGAACTAGACAATATTCAACAGCAATTGCCAGACTGTTAAGTGCAGTATGTAATTTACTGCTCGCATTGGCCTCAGTACCAGAGTAACTGAAGGTGATGAAATGCTCCTGGGACTTTAGATAAGGGATTCTGGAAAATAAAGGCTGTGAGTCTAACTTGCAAAAGTAATTTAAAAAAAAAAAAAGTATATGTGGACATACTTATCATGGGAGAGTTGACATGGATTTTGCAGAGAGAAGTCATACTTCAGGCAGTTGAGTTCTTTGAAGAAGTCAACAGGTATGAGGATGATAGCATGCCAATTGACATCGTTCACTTGTGTGTAAAGAACACTTTTTGATAAGGCTCCCCAAGCAGGTTCTTAAAGAAACTAAGCTAGAATGGATTAAAGAATTCCTAAGAATTGGTAACAGATAAAAATATGAGAAAAGAGTAGGGAAGAAATAGTTAATTTTCATAATGGAGGAGGATTACCAGTGGAATATTGGAAGGATTGATAGGGGAGACCTTATCACCATGTTCCAGTATTTAGAGGGTGGCTACAAAGAAGATGGAGACTCCCTTTTTACAAGAACTTGGATGGAAAAGATGAGGGGTAATGGGTACAAAATACTCCTGGGGAGATTCCGGTTGGCCACAAGGGGAAAATTTTTCACAATGAGAACAATCAGCCATTGGAATAATCTCCCCAGGGAAGTGGTGGATTTCCCCAACATTGGACACTTTTAAGATATGGCTGCACAGGGTGCTGGGCCATCTTGTCTAGACCGTGCTTGAGGTTTCTTCCAACCAGGTATTCTATGATATGTGTTTGGGCTTGTGCTGCTGAATATATTAATTAATGATCTAGAAGAGGTACTGGAGAAATGACAGAGTTTGCCGAAGTTTACAAAAAATTATCAGGGTAGTCAGAAGTGAGAGAGACTGAGAAGGCTGTTACATCACTGATAACTGGGTGATAAAATACCAATAGAAATCCAATATGGAGAAATGCAAATTAATACACGGGGGGAGGAGAAGACTGTGGTGGTCACTGAATCAGCTGTTAATCAGGGGAGATATTGTGAATTCACAGTGAATAGTTACTAGAAAATGTCAGTTCTTCTAAACAAGAGGTAACTAGAATATAGGAAAAAATACTAGAGGACAGAGTGCGAAACATCAGTGTATCACAAGATTAATTTGTTGTGCTCCCAGATGTGGGACTACCAAATGAAGTTCTCCTGACTCTTCCTTAAAAGGCCATGATAGAATGAAAAGGATACCAAGTATAGTGGGACAAACAGAGGATGCAGAACAGCTTTAAAAACAAACAAACAAAACCCCAAAAACCCCACAACCTACCAACCAACCCAGATTTTCTAGGATTCTTGACTTTTTATATAGCAGAGGCATAATAAAATCATCAGTAACACAGAGAAAGGCAGTTAGGGAATTATTACTTCTATAACCTGAAAACAAGAGGAATCTAGTGAAAGTAAGAGGCAAGAAGTTTAAAGGAAAGACAACAGAGGGGGAAAGTTTTGCTTTTTCTTTTCCACACAGTGCATAATCCTATTACGGAACTCATTGCCACAGGATGTTATGGAAACTGAAAGTGTGAACGGGTTCACTAGGTTATTAGTCAAATTCATGGAGAAAATTACCCTTGGGGACTATTAAACACATGATGTGGATATAATACCCAGGTTGGAAAGTTCACAACTGTAGATTGCCAGAAGCTGGCACAGTAGCAAAGTGTTGTTCTCTGTCTGCTCCATTTCATAGACTCTGTAGGTGTTTGCTACTGGGCCAGTATCAAATAGACTATTGGGCGAGCTGCTAATTTCTGGCCTACTACAGCTGTTTGCAGGGGGACAAGGGTTCCAAAAGCACATTAATATGTGACCTTTGTTGACTTGACTGCAGTTTCCTCCTTATAATCAGATAACACAAAATACAGACAAACTCTAAAATTACTTACCCGTCAGGCATTTTTAAAGAACTGAGGGTTTATGCTGATTTTCTTATGGCAATACAAGCCTTCTATGAAACCAATCATGGAACAGGAACAGTTGGGGAATATGGGAGAGAATTATAATTTATCTAAAACAACATATTGTCCTTTAAAAAGTAGATGCTAACATAACATTCCAGTGCCCAAATGCTGAGGAATAGAAATCATCAGTTAAGAGAACAGATTTGTAAAAGAAGATGCCTTGAGCTAAGAGTTCTTTGATTACCTGACCAAATGAAATACTTTATTTAACCTGTTGTAAAATAGGCTGCTTAACAAGCAGTTGATACTCTAAATTGCCAAGAAAAGAGAGGTTTACTTTTTTTCTTTTGTTAATGATGTATAAATATTTGATAGCTAAAAATGTCTTTAGGTGTTTTTGACAAGACTTCTATTTTGCTGGATGCAGATCTGAACTACTCACTATGGCTTTCCACTAAGAATACTTAAATGGCTCCAATGAATACAAATTACTGCATTCTTCAGATATTAACAACAGCTTTTTCCTGTTGCAAGATGTGTGGAGCCATGTTTTTTCAGCTCAACTTAAATGCTTAATATGTAATTAAGAAGATACTTTTGATTCACTTTTTAAGCTGTGTTACATTGGGTATTTCTTTCCCTTTATTTTGGCTACAAGTGTGATTCCAGTTTTATGACATAGACCAAACTTTAACTCTGTTTGATAACCATGCTGTGTAACTGGATCATGGGTTCATCGGTTACAATGAATACAAAAGTACTGTGAGCAAACTAATGAGCTTACAGATATTTCTAAGACTTAACTCATCTTCAGTAATAAATTTATGACAAAGAACAGAGTGAAATAAAATTTAATAAGGAAGGTGTGTTGAAGTGATAAAGAAGGGTGGAGGAAAGCAGAATATCTGACTTTCTTCTTTCTTTTTGAGAATTGTGTTTAAATGGAAGAAATAATTCCTCTCATCCTGCAGCTGTCTTTGTGCACCTGGACTCGGATTGAGTGTGTGGGGAACTGACGAAGTGGAAGGACTTAGTTTCATGTTTTGAGATTTTAGTACTCTGATATCCTCTAAGGAAGGATGTTAACTTTATTCTGCTGTTAATCAGATGGTATTTTTACCCACTATTACAACTAGCATCTGCTAGATTATAGAAACATCATTCTAGGTATTTATGAGAAAGGTTCAGTGTCCTGTGCACAGGTATTCAAGCTTGCTGTATTTGCGAACCTTTCATAGAGCAGCAAGGGACTCGGCAGTAGTTGTAAAATGGGGGGAGGGGAAGTATTTAACCATATGGAGATTTTTATAATCATTATAATTCCTGAACAATTTTTATTACTGATTTTCACATGGCTTTGTCCCCTTAAAATTTTGATTGTCGAAGATGAGGAAGATGTGAATTGTGTTTGGCAACAGAGGTGTATTTTTGGTAGGGGCGTATTTTATGCTGTCACCATAAAATGACTGATATTATGTTGCTTTCGATACTGTTTGCTGTAAGCCTATAAAAATGTTTTCTCCTTTTTTTCTTTTTCTGTAGCCCACAAGACGATCAGCAAGATTGTCAGCTGTAAGTATGTATAACACCTCTTGGTATATACTTTTCTAGGCACATATGGTTTCTCAGACCAAACAGGTTTGTTATATTTTGCTTGATTCAATTTTTATTCTATGAGGGATATTTAAGAACTCTAGAGCTAAAGTTATCTGTGTTTTCTTGGTTTCAGGTTTCAGGTTGTTCTGACAAAAGATGTATTTCCCCACTTCAGTGCAACACTGTCTGTTATGTGCTGTATTGACTTCATACTGTTTTGCAGGCTGATGTTAGTTGTGGAAATGCAACTACTTCTCTGGGAAGGAGAAAGAGCTGTCCTTCAAGGACTTCATTTGATGCCGCTACTAGTATTTGGTTTTAGTTCCTCTTCTCTGTTAGAACATATCTGGCTTTTTTTTTTAATAGTTACTACTAATCTCCACGTTTTACTCTTAGAATAACCCCCAAATTGCTTTGACTCCTAGATGAGCGAGATAATGAAAATGGGTGTGTACAGTGATGAGGTGCATTTGTGCATTAAGGTTTTTCAGCCTTTTTCTAGATGCCTACTAATGAGCAGGAAGTAAGGGAAGGTGTGGGGTGGAGGTTGCTGGCTGGCTTCTGGTAATATGTCTAACACATTGTGCAACTAAAAATGTTTTATAGAAACCTGCTCCACCAAAACCTGAACCCAAACCGAGGAAAACCACGAAGGTAAATACTCTTCTTTTTAGATGCCATCATTGCAGCCCATAGTAAGCATGTATACTCCTTTGCATTGCAAACAGTTCAATTCACAGCGGTTTTTGTGAGGCATCAGCTCCCCTGCCCTCTCCGCAGCTCCCTGCCCCCCCGCCCCAGAAAAAAAAAACAAATTAGATCATTCTTTTCTTTCTGTTCCACCCCTTCCTGGCCTCATTACTGGCCCAAACAAAATGTCTTGCCTGTTTGATATGCAGACCATGTTAGTTTGTAGTGAATTCCTAGTTTAAGAAGAATCTTTACGTTTCCTACACCTTTCCTGAAATGTACAGGTTTGGTTGAGTAAGCTTTACCTGAGACCTAGTAATTTCTACAATAGGATTTGAGATTACTCTGTGCCATCCTGTTTCCTTGTCTAGAGGGGCAGTACTTCATTTCATAGTGAGAAACTCTTATCTGTTCTTGGAGCCTGGCCATTGCTGAGAATGCACAATTATAATTAAAGGTGAAATTAAATATATTTAAATTGAATGGTTTGGGTTTTCTAGGCCAGTTACACTCAAATTAAAATCTTATTAGTGTCTGAAATACCTTTTCAGAATTTCTGCATATAAATCATGTACTTCAGAAACTGTAGATTTATTTGTGCCCAAGGGGAATGTTAAATAAGGGCAATTGCTTTATTGGAAAAAAACATACTGCTGGAAACTGAGTCTAGCATGCCTCACACTTACATTTTTCAAGTCCTTTTATTGGTATCTCAGTTGGGCAAGTATCAGGATACAAAGTCCATATGTGAAAGTAAAACTCTATGACTTTGAACACTTTATGATTTATCAAATGAAATTACCAATAAAGTCTTGCTGAGCCCATCGTGCTCCCCTCTTAAGAAGAGTATTAATAAAGAAGGGAATATGGTAGCTTCTATAGCTTCTTGTACATGTTGTGAAATGAGCTCGGTGTTATGATGTCAGTCTAAGCTTCATGAGAGACATTTGAAGCTCATTTCAGGCTACTTGAATCCTTTATGACATTATTCTAAGTAACTTTTTAATACCGTAATCTGCTTTTTTGCAAACTCTAACTGGATCACATTTTAAGGAGTATATTAATCTTCGTCTCCTAAACAGAAAACAGCAAGTGTGTACTCTGAACCTACTAGTAAACAACTGAAGATGGTACAGATTTGAGACCATTTTTTAATGTTAAAAGCTTGCAAATTATGGATTTACTAAGTCAAGTCCTTAGCTTCCTCTTTCGTAGGTGAAGAGTTAGGACTATACTCACACCACCGATAAGCTTGTCAGTTAAGCACCACAGCTGCTGTGTAACATTGAACCTGAAGGGTGAAAGGAGTAATTCAGGCTGCCCTGGAACTAGGATTACTGACACTTCCTCCTCACCACCCTACTCCTGTATGTGTATCGCTGGGGGAAGGTAGTTAATGAAGAGAGACTGACCTTGATATCCCTGTTAACAGCTACTATTGCCATTTTGCATGGAGAATCTGGAGAAAATGATCACATGGAAGATCTCCACAGCGTTTATCAGAACTACTTTACATACTAATGTAAAATATTCAATTAAATACCATTTAAATTTTTATCCCATTGCACTTAAAATCCTTAACCTATGTCTCTGCTAGCCTTAGATCACAAATATAAATATGTACATAGAGCAATGATTAAAAAAAACTAGACTTCAACATATGGATTGTTTATTTAAGAGCAAATCTCTAAGCGAAACTGTAGCTGTTAGAATAGTTCCTTTTGATAAATTCTCTGCTTTGTGTTGCTGCAGATGGATTTTTATCAGTGTTTGCCTCCCTAGTGTGTTGGTTGGTTCTTTCATTGACATGGAATGAACATCACAGATGTTATCAAACTAACAAAAGGACAGCCAACAAAAATGCTTAATTTTTAAAATCTAATTTAATATTTCATGTTAATCAAAAGTGTAGTGCTGTTACATAAACAATGTGTTGTTTGTGCTTAGCTGAATAAGCTTTCGATATACTGTAATTGGATTTGTTCGTACGGTTATCTTGTATATACCTCTGTATATACAGCTCAGCTCTACCAAAATGGTTTGAGGGGGTTTTGTATCCGTGTAAATTATCAGAAACAATAAAGATGCAGACATCAGCATTTTCTGGAAATTTTGAGAGTCTCTGTATAACTTTTGTGGATATACGTTTTCCAGGTAGTCTTTAGCTGGTTTTCTGTTTCAGTCCAGCACATGCAGCTTGCCAAGATTTGCTTTTTAGTTCACATGAAGGTTTTTTTGATAAAGACATAGGGTGCTGGCTACTCATACAATGTCTATGCCCATGTTTTTAATCTTCTGTCAGAAGGAACCTGGAACAAAGGCCAACAAAGGTGCTAAAGGGAAGAAGGATGAAAAGCAAGAAGCTGCAAAGGAAGGTACTACACCATCTGAAAATGGTGAAAATAAAGCTGAAGAGGTACTTTCCACACATACCTCCTGCTGATTGAATCAGTGTTTTTTAATTATTCAGCCTTTCAGAAATTGATAGCATGTTCATAATGTTTCTTTTTATTGCCCATAATGTTATTGCAGATTCGCATCTCTCGCCCAACTGTTAGTGTTTCAACATCCAGAGGTGCCTCACCCAGCACACTGTCAGTAAAAGGGCAGATTGAAACAGTGAAAGTTAAGGGTACAGTAGAGCATTCAGCATGTGTGCAGTGAATAGAAACAGATAGTAGTGTGGTGCTTTTCAGTATGAACAATGGAAGCTGACAGGTAAGGCTTGTATTGCTTTTGAAAAGCTGGGATCAATAATTTAAGAAAAGTGTGTGAATGTACCTGTTATGTTTGTGTAAATGTAATATGGACATAGGTTTGAAACTGAGCTGTTGCAAATAGGAAATCAAAGGAGTAAGGGTAGTTTGGGTATTTAGGTATGTAATGGCAATTTACTATAGTAATTAATTTCTTCTTTTCTTCTCCACAGGCTCAGAAAACTGAATCTGTAGGTGACAAGAATGAATGAAATATCATGAAAAATTTGGGTTGATTTTATGTACCTCTTGGACAACTTTTAAAAGATATTTTTATCAAGTATTTTGTAAATGCTAATTTTTTTAGGACTATGATAGTTGACATATTAAACTGTATATGAACATTTCCCTTCTCATAACAGTGCTTTTAGAAATTCCCATTGTTGCCAAGTAATATAAATATCAACTTAATATTGCAAGGTATGTGTAAAATTGGATCAGCATTCCATACACTTGCTTTAAGAAATTAAGTCTTGTGCATATGGTGATGTTTTTACTGTGTGTATTTGAATTTTTCATGCAGTTTTTCTAGAGCAATAATCAGTGGTGCTTTTGTACTTAGGGTTTATGTGATTTTAATGAAACATGGATAGATGTGGCCACCTGCTGACTATTTTGGGTTCTTTTAATGGATTAAAATAAAAGGTCTCCTTGCCTGCAAAACTACAGCCTCCTAATGTTTTCTCTAAATCTGAGGAATGCCTTACTCATATTTTCAACTGCTACAAGGAAGACTAAATGATTTACCAACAGTTATTTTGCATGCAATCTGTTTGCTTTTTTGCTGATGTCTGATTAAAAAATACCCACACAGGAGTAGCAGGCTGGGATTTTCAGTGGCCCACAACTTAAGGGACTTAGATACATTCTTCATAGATACATTCTTCAGATATACTATCACAGGGTGAGTAGAGTTGCCATACTCTATCAGGATACTGTGTCTGTAATGAGCTATCAATACAGAATGAATTGCTTGATTGATAGAGATGTACACTAACTTAAAAGTAGCTTTGTTTCTCCCCCACTCTCCTTTCATTAACTTGGATCGTACTCTGTGGAAACCTTTCTTTCAATCTGCAGCCTCAAATTTAATATAAATAGTAATTGCTGTTCTGCTTCAGCTGAGGACAGTTGTTAATACATTGAAATCGCTGTTAAACAGCACTATATATTTGGTACCTGGTAGAAATGGAACAATGAAACTTATTTTTGAGGTGATTGTAGTGATATGGTGGATTAGCTAATGATTTTTTTTTTTTTTTTTTTAGTGGCCATGTTTCAACTCTGCAGCTCATTCTAAACGCCTTTTTATAATTTTTCTCCTTCTCTTTTCTCTAGGGGCCCTGGTATTTCTATTGTTACTTCTGGGATGGGAGGGGTGAGAGAAAAGATGTTCCCTGTTCTTCAGTAGCATTGATTTGTATTGCTCAAGTGGTGGCCATTATGTCTGAGGATACCTTTTGCTTGTTTAAGTCAATAAATAAATGACTGTTGCCTGACTTAGCGTTCTATTTATTCTTTGGGAAGAAATCTCCAGTTGCCTTTTTTAGTTAAAACAGAAAAGAAGCCACGCCTCTCTATACTTAAAAATTGAAGATTGATTACCATACCCTATACGCTAACTAGAATAGTAGTTAAGACCTGCATTGAGATAAATGCCACTGCTGCTCTAGTGATAGGCTTGCTACAGCCAAGTAAGAGTCTCTGCATCATGAACTTAGTTTTGGAAGAAAATTTAAACTAAGTCTCTGCTTTTGGTGATGGAAGGCAGAGGACTGTAACAAAACTTGTAGTGTAATGAGAAGGAAAGCCCATGTTGTTACTCAGTGGTATGTACTTGGCAGTCCTGCACAGTATTTCTGATTTGCTTTCTGATGGACCCTGTTGAAAGTCTGTTAATTTAGACACTACTGTTATGGGAAGTTTAACCATCTGAACTTTTTCACAGAATCATCAAAGTGCTGTTTCTAAGCATTTGTAAATGTATGGGTTTATCGTTCCTGTGAGGAGGGGTTTTGTATACTCTAATCATTTTGTGTGGATAACTGAGAGATTAGTTGCCTAATCCTATCTAGACAGTTGGGGTTCATGAAATGAGCCTTTTAACTTACATTTAACTTAGGCATGAGCATCACAAGGCACTGACACATCTCTGGACAGGCTTATTTTAGGAGAGTTCCTTTTACTAAATGCCTAAAAGAAGTTGTGTCCTTAAACTAATCACACAATATCCTAATCTAGTAATTTTGGTACAAAATTCTTCTGTCGCCTTGACCAGATTAGGAGATTCAGCTCAGTGCCGGAGTTCTGTTAGAAGCATTTAACGTCAGAAAATCCGCTTGGGTGAAGTTTAATGAAATGCAATATCCTGCTGATTCACTTAACCTTTCTGTTTTTTCAAAAGTGGTTTGTAAACCTGATGCTTTCCTGTCTTTTTCCTCTGTGTGTCAAGTTTTCAGAGAAACTTTCAAAGCACTGTATGAAGTTCTAGAACACATTTTTTTAAATTAGAATGGTCACACATTTAAACGTATGTAGCTATAGTCTTTGTGGGCAGGTGGTGATCTGCAGAGTGCCTTCAGGAAGTATGTGAGTATTTTAGTTTTGAAGTGGTACTTGAAAGTGCCAGGTGCTGCATCTCAGCCATGAAGAAACTTGCATCATCGGTATTTAATGACTGGCTGCTTCACACTTGAACACAAGGTTTGGAGGGATCCCTGAAAGTGGTATTTGTCCTTTGTGGGATGTAACAGATGGGTAGTTCAAAGTACATTTAAAAAAAAAAAAATTTTTTTTTTTTGGGAAGGATGGACTGTTTTTAAGTATAGAGAAGGCAGGTACCTCAGAAACAAGACTTAATGAATGACCAACAAAAAGTCACCCTTGAGTAGTTAAAGGTCCACCTTCCCTTAGCTTTCTCTGGGTTGCTACTTTCTGCTGCTTCCCTGTCCTTGACTGACCTTGGGCTAATTGCATGTGTCAGCACGAGGTTACACTTGGTATTTTGTCTCTTCAAATGACAAAGGCAGCTTTTTCTGAATGGAGAACTGTGCAGATGAGTCGCAAGCATTTAAGGGGAGTGCTAATGGAATATTAATCCTTATGCTAAACAGCAGTGAAAATTAATGTGTTTTACTACATTTTGCTCAACTGTTTGAGAGTTATTTGTTCTGTTCATAAGGGAAGAGAGTCAATGCAATCATTCTTTGGGATGCGTGTGCTGAAAAAGATGGATTACATGCAGCCAACAACCAAATTCTTGCTGGGTAAGGTAAGAAAAGGCACTAGGGCTTATTGAAAGGTTTTTGGGTTGTTTTTTTTTTTTAATGCTCAGTTCTGTGATTTTTTTTTTTTCTTTTTAAATGTAGTCTTAGAAGGGGAAAATAAGATCAGTTCAAGGGAGAACATGGTTTAAAATCAAACCAGTTCTACAATCCTAAGGTATACATCATGATACCAAGCCTCAAGAGCTGCAATGTTGTTTACATTTCTATTGAAATTATACAAAATTTATATAACTCTAAAGAGATTTTACAACTGGGAAATAAGTGGCCATTCCGTATTCTATAAAGGTAAGGTGTCATCAAATGAGAAAGGGCAAAATAATCTGAAATGTGAAGGAGTCTGTCTCTTCTGAATAAATTGCCTTTGACCTGCCTGCTTTATTGGACCTGTATTTTTACTTGTATCATTGTATCTGGAATACTGCTGGGCAGCTGACTGGTATCAGATTTAAAGTGACAGTTTAGCCCACTATGTTAATTTATATTAAATAAATCAGTAAACTTTGATATTTGAATCAAAGCACAAAAAGATACAGGTGACTGTCTATAAACATGTTCAGTGGCAAGAACTCTGTCATCCTAGCTTAAGGTTTATTGTCATTCTTTTATTTGTAGGAAAACTCGAAGAATACTTTCGCTGCTGGTTAAATTGCTGCATACATAATGGTCAGGAGAAGCACTAGAATGTTCAGTGCCATTATTTTTTTGTAAAGGCAAGAATTTTCTGCTGTTCTCTGTAATAAACATACTTTTTGCTTTATTCAGAAACTCTGAACTTATTGTAACGCTGCTAGATATAGACAAATTGCCTCACCAAATTGCCACCAATTACCTTCTATAATATCTAATTCTGCATTTACAATACATCAGAATGAAATAATGATGCCTTTCCTGTAGAAAATGGACAGGATGAGAAGTAAATTATTTTGATACATTGCTCCCTTTGTGATGAACTATGGTACTAGCAACAAAGTAGTTCATATGTAACAAGCAGAGACTAACAAGTGTTTGACTAGTACAGCAAAACACTCTCTTCTGGTAAGCATCTTCAGAGTGGCTATAAATGAGTTCTGGTGAAAAATGACTTAACTAACAGTACCTTTCAGATTTGTCTGTTGATACTAATTGGTCTCATTTTTTTCCAAATGTGAGTGGAAAAGCATATTTGCATACCTGCTAAGATAAGGATAAAACTAGTAATTTAAATTCGTGCTCAAAAAAAAGAAGCTGGAGTGCATGAGGCCGTTGTGCTTAATTTTACTACTGCATTTAAGTTACAGTAGTATAATTTGTAGGAATTGTTTTATTACTGTTTTGATTCTCATTCAGAAGCAAATTTCAGACTTGGAGCCCATAAAAACTGAATTTGTATTGGATGATTTCAAGTACTAAGCTGTCTGATATGAATCTTCTAATAATGAACAATTTAATGGAAAGCAATATAATTTAAGATGACAATAGAGAGACTGAAGTAGTGATCTTGTCAAAGTCCTCAGTCCATTTCTGAAATGAATATAAAATGTTACTGTAGTTCCTCACAAAATAAAGGTTGTAGAACAAGAACTTTTGCCTTATCCTGGGACTTAACCTGGAAGGCCAACCTTTCTTTAGAAGAATCAGAACAAAGTATCTTCAGGATCTAATTTCTTAAAACCAAACAAAACTCTTCCTAATTTCTGATATTATTCTGTAAGGAAAGAAGGTGGAAGATGATGTGAGCTCTTAAAATAACACCAAGGGATTCATAACCATTAGACATTAGGAAACTGATACAAATATTCAGTTGCATCTACAATAATTGAGAATAAGAAAGGAGGAGCGGGTCTGAAGGATTCTTGTGATTCTGTTCACAGTCATTTTAAAGACAGCTGCGTATTATTCCCAAGAGGAGGGAGTGCTTCTGCTGGGGCAGGTGTGGGTTGTCCCAG